ATTAGGCAATTGTGTAATGTAAAGTGTAACACCTTTAAATTGCATTACGCATTGCTTAATAAACTACTAATGCAAAGGGGAAATTAGAATACATGTTGTAGCAGACACATTTTTAACATTTAGTCATTAAGTAAAAAGTAAAAACATGTTTTGCAAATGTATTAAACACCCGGTCTAATTCCCCTAGACATTGAGACATTCCACTATCTCCACGGATTTTCAAACGGGTTCACCTCCTGTCCTCTGTCCTCAGCCGGTCCCTGGGTCAGGTGACACTGAGAGTCTCTTCATGGAGCCACTGCATGTTGACTTTGCTGTGTGCTGAGAGGTCATTGTCATGCTGAACGTTGAATCTTCACCACACTCCAGAGTCTTTTTGCATTCAGCTTTGTTTATTGTTTCCTTAGTCGTATTGGTTATGCTGCAACCGTCATCCTCGTCTTCTTTGCTGGAGCAGTATTAGTCAGGTGATGAGCTGTAGCTCTGCGCTGCCGCTCGGTTTGCCACTTTGACGTTCAGGCCAACGTTCCATTCATTCTCACCAGACAACAGAATATTTTTGTCTTGTGTTGTCGGGTTTACGGTCGTTAAGTAAACTCCAGGCAGGCTGCCCCATGCCTCTTTAATGTAGGAGTGGAATCTCTCTAAGCTATCAAGAAAGCCTGATTAATGGACTGTTACGGAGATTGTTGTCTTTCTGGCAGGTTCTCCATCACTCCGAAGCTCAGTTAGAGTGGCCATTTTGTCCTAATGAAGCTGTAACAATTAGTGGTAACTCTTTTTATACCCTTCCCCAGATTAGTGTCATAAAAATGGTTTTCTCATAGTTCTGTTGACAGCTCTTTGGACCTTTTTTTTATATTTTTTGTTTTTGTTTAGAGAAAAGTGTTTATGCTTTGCCTTGCAATTATTTTTGCAATCTGCTTATATTAAATAGGAGACAGTAGACAGGAAATGAGTCAGCGAGATAGAGGTATGACATGCAACAAAGGCCCCCTGTGTATGGGGTGTGTCTTAACCACGACACCCACAAACATTTTTCAAAACCTGTTGTTTACACAGGTGTGTAATTCAATGCAAATTACTCACACAAATGCATGTTGTCGGAATGAATTTAACTGGTTACGGGTTGTAAACAATTTTGCTTTTATTGCTGTAATGTATGAACGTCAGTTTGCTTTATGCAGAGAATTGAATGATTTACTTCTTTACACTGATTATGAGGTTTTCATCAGTGAACTTAAGTGGCATTCAGACGCCATCGATTTTCTCTGTAGAATTATCGTATTGCTCAGAGAAGCTCAGCTCTCCACACATTATAAAATGTGTAATCAGTGATTTCATGTCTTTAACCTCTTGAAGCATAATGTGTGAAAAATACTCTGAAGATCTGAATGTGCAATTACACCACTTCTCAGGATAGTGGCGTGCCCGTGAATAGTGGGAATAATGACAATAGCGTTGAATGACGAGGTTTAGTCTGAACCTCCTCTTTTCTCCTACTTGCTTGCATCCATGATGGCTGAAACCGGCGTCCTTTTTAGTCTTAGACGAACAACCTTTGACAGGCTCCTGATCCATTCAAAGTACGTTCTTCATCATCGCAAAAGGCCATACAATAATAAGCATTGGGGTTGTGGGAGAAAATAATATATAATCATTTATAAAGGCATGGCCCTTTTCCTGTCCTCAGCAGCTTGATCTGGATGTCTTTGTCGTGGCATTAAACTGCACTTTCCCCCCTTCCTCACTTCATAGTGCTGCACTTTAGGTAGCGAGACATTTGCACTTTCACTGGAGTTCATAAATGATTATAAAGCAGGAGGCAGCTTAACTGGTACTGTGTTGACTCCGTCATTAGGTTTTTGGCCCGAATAGTATTTTATATATTAGTATATTGCCTAGTATGTTTGATTTTGTTTCATGTGAATCTTGTTTGTCTTGCGTGTGCTCGGTTACAGCCACATGCATCTTTGATAGTTGGAAGTATGTTTTCTTTTGCCCCACATTCACTTCATCAGTTGTAACAAAATGTGTTAATGAACTAGTGTAGGATTTAGGCTATGTGTGGTATAGCCACTATATGTGTGTTTATATTGCTTTGTGTAACTGACCATATGTTTTTGTTTAGGGCATGATGCAGTGTTTCTGGTACCAAACTGATATCATACCGCAAAATGTAATGCTCACTACTTAATTCGACTTGGCCACCAGAGGCAACATGTGTTACCCGACAGAAGGATGAAGCAACAAAATGTTGCTTTATTGTGTTTGGCTTTGTGCAGCAGGACATGCATGGTGGCATGAGGCAGGTGGTAGGAGGAGTGGGCAGTTTGGCAACGAGGATTGTCTGCATATGAAAAACAAACTTTCCACCAGTCTGTTCAGGTTCCATACCAGTTAACATAGTGACTATATTTAGAAGGCAGACGCGTGTTACACCTTGCTCGGCTTTATAGGTTTCGTATGCAGATTTTTTGCCACTGAGCCGACTCGTATTACCCTCAACCCATGAGTTTTCAATCTGTGGAACTGCTGTTATTGTATCCCTGTGCTCATTGATAAGGATGTCTGGTTTTCAAGCTGAATTTAAGCTTTGGAAATGGTTCTAAAACTACGTTGGCAGCTATAGCGTTGACATTTTTTTCTAGACTAACCTCCCACTGGAAGTGTCTGAAAACCTCTTAAGATTCACTCCATCATGCACTTCTAGGATCTACGTATATCTGCAACAACAGTTGAATGCAGAGACTTAAATGTGGCTCGACTGTGCTTGATAAGATTTAATTCTCTAAATTAGTGTAAGTAGAGCTGAACGATTTATAGGCCAGGCCTACCTGTTATGATCTAATGAGATGAATTGATGCATGCATTGATATGAATAACATATCTTTATATAGCTATTGCAGTAGAATATAGTAACGTGTAATTTCAAGCCATGTAATATCATCAAGACTCCACTTTTTAATAAAATCTAAAAAAGCACAGCAGAGCAACAGGCCTGGTGTGAATGTTCATATTTGAATCTGACTGATCTCCAGTCAGTTATAGTAACACATCTCACAAACTACACAAATCTCAACACCGGATTATGGCTGTGCCACTCTAAGACATATTATGTTCACTTATATCCCAATGGTAACATGTGAACATGTTGATTTGACTTGCCCCCTCTCTCCTAATTCACCAGAGGCCCAGTCAGAACATTAATAAGTATGAATACTTACTGATCTCCAGTCAGTAACGGTATTGAACCAAATCACACAAACTAAAGGGCTCTACCACTCTAAAAGTACTTAGATGACTAACAGCCTCGTAGTAAACATGTTGTTAACCGTCACGGCTCCAGCCCCGGTCGGGAAGCACGGGGGAGATGTTGTATTGCCTCCAGGGCCGATGTTGGTGCTCACTTCAGGGCACTTTACTTTGGTCTTGAGGAGCTGCAGCATTTAGTCATAGACGAACTGAAACCTACTCGGTACATTTACTACCACTTGAAAACTTGACTGCTAATTTCCTCTCTGCTATACGACAGCCAACAGCTGTCTGCCCTGAGCACATCCACTGTTTCTCTCTCTCTCTCTCTCTGTCGATCAACCACACACTCACTACACACTCGGCTATTCCCCAAATGAGTTGCACTATTCTAACAACAATGCCCTTAAACCCGGCCTTGACCTCAAGCCTCCAGAAAACGTACTGGGCTTTGGCACGTGATACCTTTGGGCCCAAAATTACTATTTTTCCCATAGACTCACATTGGGACAGAGACATCTGTAAATCAGTGGATAATCTCTTTTTAGGTAAATACATTTTCCAGTAGGAACATGTAAATAGCTGTAATTTAATCATTTAATCATTTGGTCCTAAAAGCTGTAAAATGCACCAATAGCAGGGTTATTTCCCTTCCTCCATTCATGTGAATGAGCAGAGTGGCTGGGAGGCGGGTCAAAGGAAACGCTAATGTGCTTGCTCTAAAGCAAGCAAAAGCTGCAATTAGAAAAAAAAAAAAAAAAAAAAATCTTTTTCATTTCAGTTGCAACTTCTGCGATTTGGAAATGACGTATTACATGGCATGTCGGTTTGAATCCGATTAATCAAAAAAATCCCTAGTTTTTAGTGCATGATTTCCCATAAAACTTTCTTTCACTTGCTTGTTATACCTGAGACAATCAAACACCTAGATTTTGCAGAGTTACTTTATTTTTTATCTGCACAACAACTGCACTCTGATGAAAGTCTCCAGTCTCCAATCTCCATTTAGTCCAGTGACGCACATCATTGAAATGTAATTGCCCCAAGATCTGATGATGACTGAGGTTGGGCTGCATTTATACCTCCACGGACAAGTCTCTTTCCTCTACGTTAGGCTGCTTTTGATTACCTTGATCACCAGCTATTAGCTGTCAGTCACAGTAATGTGCAGTGGGTATCTAGACCCATTTTCCAACTGCTTGCTTTAATGCCCACCAGCAGGCTGTTGTCAGTGCTCTCCATATATACCGTGCACTTCTTTAGAGGGCTAATTTCATGCTTGTTGAACTTGAAGAACTGCATTATTGATTGTTGTTTTCTACTTTCTTAATAGTGATTATCATTTATGACTCAGAAGGGGCAGCAGGGCTATAGGGACTCTGCTCCCCTCCTCTTTTCATTAAAATGCCAGGCTATTTTGTTTTCATGGGTGTTTAAATTCTGATCAAAGCCTTTCGGAAGGAAGAGAGATCTCCACCTCTCCGGTCCTGGCTAGCCCGTTAACATCACAGCAGCGACCTGGAAAATATGCGACCTCGTGGTTAATTTCACCTCAGAGGAAAGACCTGATCGAGGACAGGGTTGAAAGCCAGGTCAGACGGCAATGTTCAGTGTTCAGTTTAGTTTAATCCATGTTTCTCCATGCTGGAGCATTACATCAACGGAACAAAACTCAAACAGCATGTGAGAGGCACAACAATCCAATCTTTTCTTGCATTCCCTGTCTGTCCCATCTTGTTCTGCAGTTGGTGGGTGGTGAGTTCGACCTGGAGACAAACTTCATTATCCAGGATGCAGAAGGCATCGGCTGCATGGTGGAGCTGTTGGGGCACTGTGACATCACCTGCCAGGCTGAAATCTGGAGCATGTTCACCGCCATCCTGCGAAAAAGTGTTCGAAATCTGCAAACCAGCACTGAGGTGGGCCTCATCCAGCAGGTGCTGCTCAAAATGAGCTCGGTGGATGACATGATAGCAGGTATGATAATGGTAGCAGTGGTAGAGCATGTGTTTTCATTTTCAGAGGGATTGTTATCTTGGTAATGTCCGGCAAGTGGCGTATGGGTTATGCCTTCTTGTATGTTTTATTTTCATTGTCATCCCCTTTAATTCTGTCAGCAATAGAGTGCTGCAGGGATAATGCATATTTGTAGGCCAATCTGGAAGTTAGCGGCATCTTGAGTCCCTTCACAAAAAGCAAATGGTATTTGTCCATTGGATTATTGCAGAAAATAACCTCTGCGGCAAACAAACATTTATGATACTTACATTTGTTCTGCAAAATAATCTTCACAAAGGAATACCCCTTGTGACTTTATGGTTTTTGAAGCGTGATTGCCAGAAGTAAAGCGCTAACGACAGGCTATAAACAAACTAGACCAGTAGGGTTGATGTGTTCTGTGTGATGATGGTCTGTAGGATCATTGAGCCACTTGTTAGCAACAGCTTTTTTAAAGACATGTAGAAGCTTGAAAATTCACAAGGGGGGAATATTGTAGAAGAAAACGTTGAAACCTCGTAGGCCTGGGTGAACCACAGACTGTATTTCAGGCATCTAACCAAAAACACATTCAAAAAAACAATAACAATTGGAAGTGTAAAAAAATGTTGACTCATTTCTGGGTTTCAGGACTCATTCCTGCACCATTCTATTAATTCAGACAATTCTTTGAGACATCAACTATTGCAGAAAGTCAATGTTCTTCGGGGTAAATCTTGATTAAAATTGAATTCAAACAATTGTACTGTACTTAATAATTGGTATTAGGAAAAAGTCTTTGCTTTACAAAAATATTACAATTTTACATATTGGAGCCAGAATATTTTAGATATATTTCCCCTCTAGTAGCAAAGCCTCATGATGCTCTTTAGACAAATAGGTATTCATTTATTAAGAAATGAGTGATCATCCAGAGTTTGATTGCTGGGTAGTTGTCCCTGTGTACTATTTAAGTCCTGAACTTTTGTCTATGAACATTGCAGTCTGTAGGGAATACTACCTTTTACTCTTACCTTTCTGGAATGAGCCCCTCACATCTGTATTTAGGTCACTGTGGGGCTCTCTGTGGAGGTCAGTGTCACTTTGATATTTTTAACAAATTATATCCATACCTTGTGTAAGTTCTAAATATTGTTTCAGCTGATGATGAAATGTAAATGCGTTTTCCCTGCGGTAAGTTCAACAATGTACCAGTTAGACATCACTATGATTTACAAGTCAGTTTCCATGTAATTGTAGTGGAAGTGCTTCTGTGTTTATATA